CCCCGCCCCTTTGTCCCCCGCCCCGCCCCGCCCCCCCTCGCCGAAGCTGACCGCCCTCACACCCAAAAGCCACGACTTGCTGTCCCCCGAGCAGGAGCATGCCCTGCTGGAGCTGGCCCTCGGCGACCGGGGCCCCGTCCGCGCGGCGGCCGGCCCCTTCGTGGCGGAGTACATTGCCCGGCGGCAGCCCGGGTCGGGCGCGGCCCCGGCCGGGTCTGCCGCACCGCGCTCCCTGTCGACCGGGGCTCGCGCGCGCCAGCTGACCGTCGCCCTGGCCCGCGCGGCCACCGACCCGGACGCCCACGCGCGCGACCTCAAGCGCGCCTGCTGGCTGCTGGTGCTCCTCGGCCCCGAGGGGGTGGACGTGGCCCGCGCGGCGCGCCTGGTCGACTGTCTGTGGGCCGACCTGGTGGGGCTGCGCCAGCCGGGGCCCCTGGCCGGGGCCCTGGTCCGCCAGGGCCTGGCCGCCGGGGCGCCCGCCGGCTCCGCGCGGCGCCCCGGCAACAGCGTCGCGGCCCGGCTGCTGGCCGGCGCCCCGGCCACCGGGGCCGCCAGCCCGCTGCTCCGCCTGACGGATCCCGAGCGCCGGGCCGGCCTGGCGGTGTTGCTGGCCTCCGCGCGCCGGTGCCTCGGTCTGGACCCGGCCGGGCCGGCGCCCTGGAGCCCGGTCGAGCCGCTGCAGCAGCGCCTGGCGCGCGCGCCCGACCGCCCGGCCACCCCCCCGCCTGACGCCCCGGCCGCGGGCAGCCCGGCCGCCGGGCGCCCCGACACCTGGGCCACCCCGGCCGGCCTGGCCGAAGCCCTGGCCCCGGCCTTCGGCGCGCTGATCCGCCTCTTCGCCCCGGAGCCCGACACGCTGCCCTGGCTGCTGGACCTGGCCGGGTGCCTGGACCTGGTGGCGCTGGATCGCGCGGCCGGCAGCGCCCCGGGCTCGGACGGGCCGGCCCCCTCGGAGGGCCCTGAGCCGGGGGCCGCCTCGCCCACCGAGCACCTGGCCCTGGCCTGCTACGAGCAGCTGGAGGTGTGCCCGGTGCCGGCCGGCCCGGGGCCCGGCCTCTTCCGGCCGCTGGCCCGGACCTTGCGGCAGATCTTCGCCGGGGGGCTGGACCGCCTGGCCGCCGGGCCGGCCTTGCGCCGGCGCCACGCCGCCAGCCTGGCCGGCCTGCACCGGGCCCTGGCCGAGGCGCTTGCCTCCTCGGCCGAGGCCCCGGCCGACCCCGGGCACGAGGACGCCCTCGGCCGGCAGGCCCGACACCTGGAGGCCCTGCTGGCCGTGGACCTGCCCTCGGAGTACCGGGCCCCCTATGGGCTGCTCCACCGCGCGGCCAGCCCCCTGTGCGAGGTGGTCCGCCCGCTGGCGGCCGGCACCCTGCTGGAGGACCTGCTGGACCGGGCCCTGGACCTGACGCGTGCCCTGCATGGGATCCATGTCCGCCGGGTGGCCACCGGCAGCGGGGCCCCCGGCCCGGCGGGGGGGGCCCTGATGGCCGGCCTCGGGGCCCTGTGCATGCTGCTGCTACTGGCCGCCGCGGCCGAGGCCGACGAGCCCACCGGCACCGTGGCCCGGACCTTTTCCCGGTGGACCGAGCTGGCCGAGATCCTCCTCGAGGAGGGCGCCTCGGCCCATGTGCAGGGTGCCACCTTCGGGTCCCTGTGCGATTTGCTCTGCGTCTTTGAGAGTCTGCCCCCCGGCGGCCAGCTGCCCACCATGCCGGACGACATGCTGGCCTCCTTCGGCCAATGGATAGCCGCCTACCTGGTGGACCCGAGCGTGCCTGTGCCCGGTGCGTCACGCCCCTCGCGCCCGGGCCTTCGCCCCACCCCCTCCGGGCGTGCCGCCTCGCTCCCCGGCCCCCGCCCCCTTTCGCTCCGCTCTGCCCCCCGCCTCCACCTCTCCCTCTCTCTGGGCTAACGTGCCCTCTCTCTCTCTCTCTCTCTCTCGTGCTTGTCGCTCCTCGCTCTCCTCGCTCTCCTCGCCCCCGGGGCGCGGCGCTCCAGATCGCGAGACCGCCCTGGCGGCCTTCTGCCGACTGTGTCTCCTCCGGCGCCCGGCCGACCGGACGCGCCTGCTGACCGTGGCCCTGCTGTCCTCGCTGCCCATGCCGGAGACATGTTCGCTGCTGCTGTGCGATGCCTTCGGCTACGCGGCCCCGGCCATCGCCTCCAGCCCGGCCTTCCTTCACATTGCCTTTCCGCTGTTGGTCAAGGTGCCTCCTCCCGCCCGGGGCCGGTCCTCCTCGCCCGCCTCCCTCCCCCCTGCCCGCCTCTGCCAGCTGGCGCTCGCTGACGGGCATCCCCCCTCGCCCCCCCCCCCCCCCCCGGCCGCCATCCAGTCCCTCGCCTCGTATATGGATGGCCACCAGCGGACCCTGACCTACATGCGCGGCGTGTGCTCCCTGGTCCGGCACCTCCACCGGCTGGCCGCCGACCGGGTGGAGTTCGCCGATGACCCGCCGGGCCAGCTGCCCGCCGACCCGCCGGACGACCTGCCCTCGGCGGTGCCGCTGTTCGAGCACCTCACCGCGTGGATCTGCCGCGCGGCTCTGGACGCCGCGCTGCATGGCGACGCCGACCGGCTGACGCGCGCCCTCGGCACCTTCCGCATCCTGGAGCACCTGACCCCGATGCTGGACCCGACCGAAGCCAATGCCCTGTGCGTGTGCCCTCCCCCTGCCGGCCTGCCTTTCCCTCATTCTCACCCGCCCGCCCCGCGGCACGCACGCATCCTATCGCATCGCATCGCATCGCATCGCATCGCATCGCATCGCATCGCATCGCATCGCATCGCATCGCATCGCATCGCATCCCTCCCCCTTCCCTCTCTGACGCACGCGCGCGCACCCCCCCCCCCCCCCCCTCAGGCTCGAGCAAACCGATCGCATCGTCATCGAGTCCGCCGTCACCGCAGCCCACCCGGAAACCGGCGCCCCGGAGACCGTCACCCTGGACCCCTCTCCGGATGACCCGCGCTGGGTGGACTACGGAGCCTTCCTGCGCGGCCTGGCCGGTCGCGCCGGCGCACACTTCCAAACCGCTTGACCGGCCTGACCCGCGCGTGCCCCGGGATGGGGCGGCCGAGAAAAAAAAGAAGAAAAATACACCACCTATGCATACACACACGCACGCATGCACGCATACACACACGCATACACACACGCACGCATGCACGCATGCACGCAAACACACACACACACACATACATACATACACACACACACACATACATACACACACACACACACACACATACATACACACACACACACACACACACACACACACACCGAAGTAGCCGGCAAGTGGCTTTCGTATTCCCCCATGCAGGCGGCCTAGGTCGGCGGCCAGGCATCGCGCGGCAGCGAGGGGCCCCCCTCGCGCACGCACTGCCACAGCGTGGCCACCGGCACGGCGGCCGTGTCGATGCTCTCGCGCAGGGCCGCCAGGGCCGCTTCATTGAAGAGGTCTGCCCGGGCAGAGGCACCCCACCGGCCGCAGGGTCAGCATGCGCCACCACACAAACGGGCAGGTGTCCAAGAAAGGGAGGAAGGGCAGGCAGCACCGCCAACGCACTGTTGAGGTCCGCCGGGGACCAGCCCCGGGTCGCGGCGGCCAGCGAATCCACCAGCAGGTCGTCGCCCGACTCGACCGGCGTGCGGGCCATGCACAGCCGGATGACGGCTGCCCCGGCCGCACCAGGCCGCCCATTGCCCACAGCGAAGTCAGTAATCCCCACGCATGCCCGGGCAGCCGGCAACCCCCAAAGAACACCGCCCCGCCGACACGCACCAGCCCGCGCGGCACGGTCCGGCGCCGGGACCAAAATGTGATGGCCCAGACGCCCGGGCCGAATGACCGCCTCGTCCAGCTGCCTCGCGTCGCCGGTGATGCCGACAACCACGATTCTGCGCGCGGCACCATGTCCAGCCGGCAGAGCAACGGGCAGCGAGGGATAAGCGGCCAAAGTCGGTTAGCGAGGCCACTCATGCATGCCCGTGGGAAGTGACCCGCCCACCACCACGACCAAGAACAGCAGCAGCAGCAGCAACGGCAGCAGCAGCAGCAGCAGCAACGGCAGCAACGGCAGCAGCAGCAGCAGCAACAGCAACAGCAACAGCAACAACAACAACAACAGCAACAACAACAACAACAACAACAACAACAACAACAGAAGCACGTACTGGGGCCGAGAGGAGGCCGCGCTCCCGGCGGCCAGAACACCATCCATCTCGGTCAGCAGGGCCGTGGTCAGGCGGTGTGCGGTGCCGGACGCGTCGGCATCCTCGGCCCGGCGCCGGCCGGCGATCAGCTCGATCTGGTCGAAGACCAGCACGCAGGGGGCCGCCGCGCGGGCCGTGGCAAAGAGCCCCGCCAGCCGGCCCTCGCTGGCGCCGGACACCTTGTCCCGCAGTCGGGCCGCGTCCACCAGCAGCACCGTCAGGGCGGTTTCGTGCGCCAGCGCCAGGGCCAGGGCCGTCTTCCCGCAGCCGGACGGCCCGTGCAGCAGGATCCCCCCCTCGGGGCGGGCGCCCAGGCGCTCGGACAGCCGCCGGAAGCGCCCGGCGGCCCCATGCTCGGCGGCCGCGCCGGCGGCGAAGGGCCACACCGCCGCCATGCGGAGCTGCGTCGCCTCGCGCTCGAGCCCGGCCAGCTGGTCGAAGCCCAGTGTCCGGGCCCGGCGCACGGGCACACACAAGGAAGCCGTCGAGGCGGCTGCCAGGGACGCCGGGCCGGCCCCGCCACGCAGGGCCTCCTCCAGGTCGGCCCAGGTGAGGCACACGTCGGCCGGGCCGGCCCCCGGCGCATGGCCATCGGCCGAGGCAATGGCCCGGCCGGCCGCCGCGCACACCGCCGCCCGGGCCAGCCCGGCCAAATCGGCCGCCACATAGCCATGCGTTTCGTCGGCCAGCCGGTCCAGCAGGCGCCCCCGGTCGGCCGAGCACCGGCCCACCGGCGTGTCCCGGAGGATGCCCTCCAGCAGGGCCCTCCGCGCCGGGGCACGGACTTGGCAAATCCCCAGGTCCAGCTGCCGGTCCAGCAGCCCCGGCGCCAGGACATCCGGCGCCACGCTGCCCAGGCGCGAGGTCAGCCCCAGCACCGCCACCCGGCACCCGGGGCCCCGGGCGTCGGCCAGCAGGCCCCGCAGCAGCCGGCCCAGCTGGTCCTCCGGCGAGGGGCCCGCCAGCCCGGCCGAGTCCTCCTCGGCCAGGGGAGACGCCGCCGCCGTCGCCGCCGCCGGGTCCCCGCGCGGCAGCACCGTGTCCAGCTCCTCCAGGACCACCAGGCGCGCCAGGTCGCCCGCCTCGAAGAGCCCACGCAGCAGGGCCTCACTGTCGGACTGGTACTTTTGGAAGAGATCCCCGGGCCGGACGATGCGCACGTCCAGCGGCCCGGGCGCCGTGGCGGCCAGGTGCCCGGCCAGGAAGGACTTGCCCGTGCCTGGGCATGGGCAGCAGCAGCAGCAGCAGCAGCAGCGGCGGCAGCAGAAAGGCGCGGGAGGCGGAAGAGGGGAGGGAAGGAGGGGGCCCAGTCTCCGGGGCGTCAGCGAACCGGCCACAGTGCGGTCGACGGGGAGGCAAGATGGCGCGGAGGAGAAGGGCCACCACGGCAACGCACCAGGCAGACCATGGACCAGCAGGCCAGCCGGGCGAAGGTGCCGACGAGCGGCCAGGGCCCGGGCCTCGGCCGCGTCGGCCGCCGCATCCACATCGAACCCCAGCATAAAGCTCAGGCCTTGGGTGAGCTGCTCGAGCCAGGCGGCGTCGAAGCCGGTGGCCGCGTGCAAGCGCCCGGCCCATGCGCCGGCCGGCGCGGCGTTCGAGGCGGTGCGAGGCGACATCCCGTCGTCGGGCAGACACCCACCAGGGGGGCAGTCAATCGGGGGCATGAAAAGGACCACAAGCGAAAGGACAAAGATCCACGAGGGAGGCGAGGGTCAAGGGGGAAAGAGGGCATTTGGGGGGGGGGGGATCGGTCGGCCACGCGCCCGGGCCGGGCAGGCCTCGGAAAAGGGTCCCCCCTCGCCGTGTCCCCGGGCGCGGGTGGCCGTCGATCGCGCCCGCCCGTCCCCGCCGCCGCCCCCCGGAAAGGGGCACCCCGCCAGCATGGGCGCCCTGCGCGCCCGTCGTGCCTCTTGGCGGTGCGAAACCCCGGCACCCATGGGTCCGGGGGGGGATTTATAATAGCGCAATGATCTCCCTCGGTGCCAGCACCACCGAGCCCACCGGGGCGGCGGACCGCAGGCACCCATGGGTTGGCACATGGCGCCCAAGATCGCCGGCCCGTTTCTGCCCGTGCGGCGGGGCAGTGAAGGGGCGCCGCACGCGCGCGCTTCCGGGGGATCCCGCCCGG